TGCACTTCGATATAAAATCACAAATTAAATATAGAACATCATAAATTTCGGCAGCCAAGCGTAATAATAAATTTAATTAAAAAAAACTGACAGGGTCATTTTTACTAAAAAATATATATTGAAAAGAAAACAACAAATCGAGTTGTAGCGATCGATGAAGTGGAACACAAATTGCAGTTATTTCGCTAGCGAGGTGTGTGTGTGTGTGTGTGTGTGTGTGTGTGTGTGTGTGGGTGTGTGTGTGTGTGTGTGTGTGTGTGTGTGTGTGTGTTCTTATTAAAATCATATAATCTTTTTTTTAATCGAACAAATAAGTTTTGATTTCTCTCGAGAACAAATTCATAACGCTAATCTATTTGACAAAATATATAGAAAGTAGCTAGAGAAAACTCAAGAAATAAAAATTCAACATCAAGCAAAATAAAATCATATATCATAAATTTATCTTTTAAAAATTGTAACTTAAAGAAGAAATGTTCTATTATATATTTTATTTATACACGTATATAACATAAAACAATTCTTTTTCAAGGTGATCAATTGAATGTAATATACATAATATATGCATGTTATATTAAATATCAATATATATGATATAATTAAACATAATAAAATTATATACCTAGTCTAAATAAAAATCTATTATACATAGATTTACAATATATTTAAAGAAAGAAATAACAAAATATCTTATACAATGAATTATATCAATGATGACAAAGAAAAAAGAATTATTGAATTTCACAACTATGATATACCTATACTACATAGTATGTACGAACTTATAAAATCGAATCGATAGTGAATGGATGATAAAACACAAAAGATAAAATTGGAGATATTTCTTTGTATAAAAAAAGCTAGTATGACAGTAAAGGACAAACGAAAACATCAAACGGAAGAATTTGTGAGGATTTTTCTCTCTTAATCGATCGATAGAAACTAAATAAAAGTTCAAGCAATTTGTCTATTTCATTTCTTAATAAGTCAGATCAAATCTGCTCCATTTTCATTAAACTTTTGCACTTTTAAGCAAATGCTATATTTATTATTATATTTACAAATATAAATTATTCACACATATTGTTTGCATTTCATATAGATACAGTATGCGAATGTTATTCTGCAATGATCTTTATCCAGCATTGATATTAATATTAAAATAAAATATTTGAATTTATATTTAAAACTAATATTAATTATAATACATATCTGTAAGTAAAACTAACAAAATTATTTATATGATATTAATATAATATACATAATATATACATGTTATATTAAGTATCAACATATATCATATAATAAAACATAATAAAATTATATACCTAGCATAAATAAAAATCTATTATACATAGATTTACAATATATTTAAAGAAAGAAATAACAAAATATCTAATAACAAAATATAGAATGAATTATATCAATGAAATTATAATATTAATATCAAAATATAATAACTTAACATTTAATAGTTAATATCACATAATTAAGGAAAATTCACAAAAGAAAGTATAAGTTAATTCAAACCTAATGTGAATTTTGGTAGAACAATTTCATATTTTAGCATTCCTTTATCTTCAAAAGTAACACCATTGGTATTGCAAAAAATAACATCTCAGTCACCATAGATTTTCACAGATCACTGATTCCATACAAATTCAATTAAATCGATTTCCTTAATTTATTTAAGGGACTTCATCGGATGCTATTTATCTCCTTTTCCTCTTACATTCCCATTCGAATGTGGTCGAACGATTCATTGTATTTCTTTCACCAACTTGTCATGATCGATTTACAGAAAAAAGAAAATAAATGAATGCGTGATAAAAAGCACTTAAAGATGTTTGGGCTATACAATACTATCTACAAGTTATTGAAAAAAACCACAGGTTTCTTAAGTTTTATGTTTTCAACGATAAAAAAATTTTAGTCGTAAATATGCTTTAAAACTCATTGCCAGAAACAAAACAAATAATTTGATTTATAAAGACTTATGCTACGCAATAACTATATTCTATTACAATTTTATGTAAATAATTTTAAACGAGTAAATGGATTCAAATAAATTCTTTATATAAATATTTATTAAAGTTTTAATAGTATATGTAAAATATTTCATTTCGCTATTTCCTTATCAAATTTGCAAGTGAGTATTACAATGAGATTTTACATAAAAACAAATGCAAACAAAAATCAAGTAAAACAATCTTTTAAAACAATAACAAAAATTATGCTCACAAATATTCAAATGTAAATAAAACAACATATGAAATTTATATTTTGATAATGCTTTAAGATGCATCCTTAATCAAATATCTCTAAAGTGATATATTTTCGAAAAAATGCCACATATTTTGGGCAAATTATCTTCTGATTCGCACTCCTTAAAAAAAATACATATTCTATCACGTCCAAAAAGTAATTTAAGATGGTATTAATTAATAAGAATAGTAAGAATGTGATTTCATTAAAAGTAACTTAAGTCAGAGATAGATTACTAATGTTTTAACATTATGTAACGATTAATGTTGACAGGTAATGATTAAATTACAAGCCACCGTTGATCGATTACGTCTTTCGAGAATATTATCAGAGCTATCAGAGCTCAACATAACAACTTCAATTGAAACTTGGCGGATATCTTTGACTTCCGAGTCTTAAGTTTCCTTGGAGGGCAAGAGTAAGAGACTTCAAGCTATTCAAGTGCAATCGACTATGACGCGTTCTGATCTTTACTAAGCTAGAGTTTCTCAAGTACGAGGTAGAACACCAAGTGATAAATTTTGATTGATCTGTCATATGTAATAGAGAACAAGTGATAGAATAAAATAGCTGTTTTGATTCAGTTGCCTTCTTACTTTATCTTATATACAGTCATAAGGTAGAATGAAATAGATAGATTTACAGAGATTTGGCAATCGATCTTAATTTTTATTTGAGAAACTCTATGGAAAATTAATCATATTGATAAAAATGAGAATGTAAGATGACTTTTCACAGGTATGTTTCTATCAGCAATCAGTATTTATCATTATAAATATCTTGAATTATAAGTATAATTTAATTATTATGCTCAGAACTGGGCATGTATTTAAAATACTTTTATTTAAAACACAGTTTTTGTAATACAAGTGTATTTTGTATTTTAGCGGAGCATATGAAAATATATTACATATTTTGTATTTAGAATCAAAAGATTGAAAATTTTATGTATTTTGCATTCAAATATAATAAGATTGTCAATCTTAGTACTTGAAATATGTATAATGTACTTTCAATCTTTCGTATTATTAATACTGAAATTCAAAATATAAAATATTTTCCGCTAAAATATGGTCCGCTAAAATATAAAATACACGATACAATTCGCTTACAAAAATACTATTTTTCAAATCAAAATATTTCAAATACATGACCTGATTATGCTAAAGTTTAATTAATATTACGAATGTGATTGCGTATCAATCACATTCGTAATATTAATTAAACTTTACCAATTACATCGCAAAATAATAAATTTTAAACACAAATTGCTATCAAAAAATAGACTCAAATTAATTGATATACAAACGGAATGTCGTTATTTTAATTGAATTATATACGTCAATTAATTTGACGATTCTGATAAACACAAGATAAAAAGAATCTCATAAACATTTTTTAGAGTTTTTTCACTAAGACATGAAAGATAATAATATTAATTTATTATTATTAATCATAAAAATTGGAACTTTATAAGAACTATATTAGTTTCATAGTCGACTGTAGTCGTTTATTCATACGTGCTAATTTCCATGAGATAAAATCGAAATAACTCAATCGTTAACATTTAACAGCCGACAAAACTCTTGATGTTGCATATACTCTATAAAACTATGCAAAACATTGCTACAATTAAGGGGATAGGCGGAATAAAGACATAATTCTACTTAGGCCCTTTTTCCGGCAATTAGCTTTATTATGCAATATTTGTCGTAATAGAGAAGTATTATAACATGTAACTTCTTAAAGACATTACATAAATTCATTTGATATTGTATCCATTTGTGTAGCAAGTTCTTTTAATTTTTATTAATATCAAGATTTTGTAATTAGGTCTTTATTTCGCCCATCTCCTCAATTCATCGCGATCAATCGTTTAAACATTCATCATGAATCATGAATATATATGTATAAATACATAGGGCGAATTTGTTTAATTCATCGATTGATCAATCACACATTATGCGCTTTTACAAAATAAAATTACATTTGCACACAGTGTAATTGATCAATCGATAAATGAAAAAACTCACCCACATATATTCTCGAAAGAAGCACAAGTCGATAAAAAACACCTCGTGTTGTTTTGATACTCTATTGTATTGACATCATCAAACATATATCATCGTGAAAAAAACTTGAAAGCGATATTATCAGTTTCGATCGGCGATTCTTAAGAATCTGATTCTGGTCAAATTTTTAATTATCTAGAATCTACATTCTTGTTTACGATAAGCTATTTTGTCAATTATTATGTTTCTGTGATTATTTTGTTGTGACACAATTTGATACAATTTATTTAAAAACAAGATAATATCGAGAACTAGAAAGAATAATAGTATACTAATTCTTCGCATATATTCTCCGCATCATTTCTCGAAATTACAAAGTTGCTTTATTTTTTCTACTTTTTCTGTACTCCATTATATCTCTAATAAGAATAAAGCGTCGACTTATATATTCCTCGATTTAAAATCTTAAATTGGCAGATCATGGATTCTGACGGTCGTTTACTTATATTTCCCAAGGATCATGATTACAGAATGCACGATAAATTTTTGAGCCTCACGCAGCAACTCGGGACCCAGCAAGAACGATCTTTCCGAGCTGGGTCACACACCACGCGGCGCAACCGTTGTACTTCTCGATAAGCTTCATAACGTTCAAGCCGGCGCATCAGAGTAGTTCGGATAAATCGAGCAATCGCGATCCAATCTCGTTATATAATTGCATACCAGTAGCATGTATGTTGTTGTTCCTTATCTTCAGATTTCTTATCTGTCATCTCGTAGGAGGGTGGTTCCGTCCATCGCTTCTCTGGATCGTATCGTATCTCGAGTCGATCGATCGTCGTAGGGTGCACACGCGCTGACCGGTTGCGGCACCACGTTTCTTTCCACATATAAATTACACAAATCGCACCTGATACATATATCCTAGTGTCGGAGCAAAAATACAAACACTATTCAAATAACAATTTATCTGCAAAGCCAAAGATCAACTTCTCTCTAAAGGCTAAAGAGAGTAGGAAAAAGTCGAATTTAAGTAAATTTAACGATTTCGTGTTAGAACGAGCGCGAATAAATCGATTTCTCGAATCCACCCGTTCGGCAAGATGACCGAGTAGCGACTGAAACTTACCCTGCGTGATACCGTGGCGGCGCTGACTACCCCCGAAAGAAGAAACATCATATCCCCACTCATATAACAGCGCGTCGGGGCTCGGGGCGCGCACAACCCCCGTTGTCTCATCCTTTTTCTCTAGCTCTAGGCCGCCGCAACGCGTCGTCTCTACTTCAACTAACCAATGACGCTAAGAGTAGCTAAGAGTAGCTGAGACAGAAAACGGATTCGATCAGCACCGAATCGAATTGCAACGGATCTGATCAATTTTGTAACCTGATGATAAACCAACCATTGACCGGCTTACAGTCAAAAACTGATCAGTGTAATTATAGATATAGTAATAGTCGCGGGTAATTTCCATGCCTGATGTAACCCTTTCATTGCCAAGGGAATGTACGTGACCCGCTAACACATAAACGTGCGACACGAAACTCAGTAATTTACACAAGTGTCGATTTGGTAAAGAGTTGTGATTGTGACGAACAAAATACAATACATCTTGACATTACACGTTAAAAGTAGGTATTTTCCATTATAATAGATATATATATTTAAATGTTTCTATATTAAAAGATTTTGTGATATAAATTTGGCAGAATTTGTAATATCCCGTTACACTTTCGTGCAAAATATTTTTTGCAATAGAAAGATTTGCCAATTTTTTTTTGTAATGTAAATTTGTATTGTAATTTTTTATTATATTACAAATCTCAAAATATAAATTTATATAAATTCACCGAAAAATTTTTATAATAAATTTAAAAGCTTTTGTAACAAAAGATATATTTTATTAAGCTATTTGTAAGATTAGAAAGATATATCATTTTAATCATTAAAATTATTTGCATTATTTTGTACAATTATTTTGTATGAGTATAAATCTCACCCATTTTGGTAATATCAGAAAAATGAAAGAGAATAAAAAAATGATATTATTATATAACTGATAAAAATAAGAATAAAATTTTATATATTACATATTATAATAAAATGAACATGAAACGTAAATTGTCAATTCGATCATATCTTATATCTATAGTATAAGATACAAGATACACATACACACATCCTATATCTACAGTCTAAGATACAAAATATACATACATACATCTTATATCAATATTTCTAATTAATAATGTGCTTCTAATTTTTATAAAACTTATTATATGTCTTATGTACAGTAATGATGTAATTAATATACATATTAGCATTTCTAAAATTCTTAAAATTTCTTTAAAAAAATTTTTGAATCCTAATTCGTAATAAAAAATTTTTTAATAACACAACTAATTGTAAATATAATTTTTTCAATAATTTAGAATTTTTTGAAATTTTGGATGGTCTTCAGAATTTTATTAAAAAATAAATTTTATAATTCAGATTACTTCTGATTAAAATTAAAAAATTATTAATTTTCTTGAAATGAAAATGCAAAGTCAGTCTCGAGATTTATAAATTTTTAATCTATATAATATAAACTTTAACAGCCTCTATATTTAACAATGAATTTTTTTACAAAGTATAAAATTATAAGAAATCATAAATAGCAAAAATTAGTATTAACAATATACTAACGATAAAAAATATTATTATGCTTATAAAATGATAATTAAATATATTTTGCAAAATTATAAAAGACATTGTTACCAAGAAAAACAAAGTTAACAAAACCTATGTAAACAGTATTCGAAACAAATGCACAAATTCAAGTAATTGCTTTCATTCGAAATGGCTATGAGAAAAATGAGTGTTGTTTTCGAAGTCAATAGTATTTTATGAACAGATTCAAAGAAAAATACAAAAGGCAAGTGAAGAGCAAAGTTACATTGTGATTTTCTCTAAGAAATTCTCTCATCATGTTACAGTGTAAGTTTGAAAATTCTAAATCCTAAAAAGAAAGCTTTTTAAAATAATCTGTGTTTACATTCTATTTTTCAGTATTTTAATGTTAAATCGCAAAACTTATTAAGATTTTTTTTATGCGCGCGCGTAAAATCTACGTAAAACTTTTCGAAAATTATTATTGTATTATTCAAAATCGTGTTATTGACAATAAAATTATAATAATTAATTGACAATAGATTAACTATATTAAAAATTGATGATTATGGATGATAATGGACTAACTAATGATTGATAAACTAACTAACAGATAGACTGATTGACAATCGGATAAAACCATTACTACTCAAAATTACTATACCTACTGATAATAGAATTATAATAATTGACGTAAGCTGCATTTTAATATAAGTTGCATCTATATTTTATAATATTGAATTATTATATTAATTAAATTTAAATTTCTTAGTCATACTTTATCATGTAATATTTTTTTTATTCACGTAGCTATTTATATGACTCTCCTAAAAATTTATCATGCTGCGATAGTAGAAATAAAAATGATTTGTTTGAAATGATACTGTGATAATTTTTTGCAGTATGAAGACAATACTATACACAATACTATAGAGATAGAGAGGTATCGGTTCAATGCAGACAGAAGAATCACGATCGAAAGCATAAAGGGAGGGCGCCACTTCGCCGTCAACCTCATTTTCTTCGACTTCTCCGAGCTATGAATTGATTAGATACTTATTAGTTCTTATGCGAATACTTGCAATTTTCAATAAAAATGTGTTTAATAACATAAATTTTTTTTTAATTTATCAATCATGATATTGAAATGTTTCATATAACACAAAGTATTTGGTAAATTACTTAATATACATGTAATTAAGATTTCAGTTAAATTAAAAAAAAAACAATGAATGATAAGATTAAATTAAAGTTTTCTAATAATTTTATGATAAAAATTAAAGACTTGTTATTTAATAGTTACTAATTGCTAGGTTTTTATAATTATTAATTACTTCATTATAAAATTAATACAGTGTATATTGTACCTCCAACAAATTTAATTATTTTATTTAATCTGTAAAGATTTTCTGATTCTTCTTTCATGTTTTCATAAATCATGTTTCATAAGTTTGATACCGTACTAGAGATATAGCGTAATGCTTGTCCAGAGATTTATATACTCTTTAAAGTTAGACAGCAACTATTTTCTTGTCGAAGATGTATTAGTGTGTCATCATTCGCTATTATTAATACGCTATTACTAATGTAAGAAAAAGTAAAAATGAAAAAATGAAAAAATAAACGATGGAACTGGAAACTTAATTTGATGAAAAGTAAAACTATATATAGAAACTTTGACGATGAAAAATCAATATCTCATGCTTAACATAAATAAGTTATCGTAATTATTGTAATAATACCAGAAATAGATGCTCATGTAATGGTTTCTTTTACAATATTTAGAGCAGATATTAAAAAAATCAATATTTAATATATTACATGCTGTAATTATAAACTCATTTATTTAAGCTATAAATTATTTATCCCTAATATAAAAAGATAGTAAAATTAAATTTATTAAGAAATTAAATTATTGCTGTATATTTTTTGGCATGATGAAAGACTTTCAATATTAGTATAAAAATGAAACCAAATATAAGATTACTGAACTATTACCTTCTTGATAAGATATTTAATATTTAATATTTGAAAAGATTATTTTTATTTCACAACAAATTCTCTTTCTATGCACACACATACTCTATATGCATACAATTGATAAAAATGATCTAATAATACAATTTTGCTGAATCTCTGGCTATGCTTATTATGATGCGATGAATGAGTCTTTAAACAAGCGATTACAATTATGCCTGCGCGCGAGTTATCGTATACTGTAAGTTGTACTTCATGAAAATATTTATGGACTAATATATCACGTGTGTATCTAGAAAACTCGTAAATACTGCATTTTCGCCGACTGATATGAGGCTATAGAATATATGAGGTTATAGAAACAAATGCAATATTTTTCAATTATTGACCAATAATTAGCGAGATTTTACATTGCTCTTAATAAATTAAAGTTAAAAAAAATAAAAACCTATATTACACTTATTAAAATAATAATTTAAGTATAATTCTAAATATATGTTATACAATATATGCGTATTGCATCAATATATTAATCAGTATATCAGATTATTTTATAAATGCCTTCTCTAGTATATATAAACATTATTTATAAAATGTAATCAATCGATTAATTTTATAAATGTATACCTGCTAGAAAAGATATTACATTTATAAAATAACTTGACATTCTGACTAATATGTTTATGCAACACGAGGTACATAAAACAAAATTGTTGATCAAATGTCGATTGTTAATTTATATATCACACAATATACACACACACACAGACTCTCTCTCTCTCTCTCTCTCTCTCTCTCTCTCTCTCTCTCTCTCTGTAAAAAATAAAATGTTATTTCAAACTTAAAGATGTATAGTGGATTTTTTGAGACATGCAAAAAATAAATAATTAACACTTTGTTTTCATTTTAGCATATTTGTATACCTCAGAAAGTCCACAATAAGTCTTTAGGTTTAAATTAACATTTTTTACAGTGTATATTTTACATACATATGCATATATGTAAAATTTAGCATCAAGGTGATATTATCATTGTATTGTGATGTTGTATAACATTATACAACATCACAATACTTTCAATAATTTACATTTTCACGATGGCGTTTAAATGTGAAACTCTTTTCAGTTGCAGTATCCTTCTCCGAAAATTCAGAAATATGCAAATGTATTCCTTGGCAATCCTCGCGATATCTTCACTTCTTCGCATAAAATCGCATAAAATTGCGTAAAAGGCGACTTGAACGGGTGCCAAATAAGATGGTGCGTAGCTCTCTCTAATCGCTCGAAAATCGTTCATAATTAATTTCGAGCAAGAGGAAAAATAGGAAAAATATTCTTCAGAATCGGAGAGTTACTTGGAACCATATTTGCGATGACATACTTTTTCGCGGCAACTAACAACAAGAAATACTCAGTTGTTTTCTATCCCTACCTATAATCTAATTACAAGAAAATCTATTTAATCTAATTAGGAGAAAACTATTTGTTTCCTTTTGTTTTCACTCTAAATCATAATATTTATATGCATCGCGCGATAAAACTTCTTAACACAAGCTGTTCTGTTTCGACATCGAAAACAAAACAAAACATTATCATTATTTGATATAAACCAATAGATATACACAATACATTAAAATGACGCACAAAAAATTAGATTAATTTGAGGCTCCACTTATAATGAATCTTTTTTAGCAGGGTTGGGTAAGTTAACTTTTTTTTTAAACTAAGTTAAGTTAAAGTTAATAACCTTGAAAATTTAACTTAGATAAGATACAAGTTAATTTATAATGAAATTAATTGAATTAAAAGTTAAGTTAATAAAAAAAAGTAATTGAAAAGTTAAAAATTAAATTTGTTTTTTTTTTTATTTCATGATTTCAGGGTTTTAATCTTACAAATAACGGAAATAATAAATATAATATTTCATTTAGAAAATACTCTATATTTTATTTACATGTTTTGTTCAGTTATACTGTTTACATAGACTGTTATATACATATATAATTTGTATAATATTTTGTTCACATATACTTATTAAATTTGAGCAATAAAACCATTTCGAAATTTTTGTCGGACATCTTTTCTCGCAAGTTATCGAAAATGAGTCCTCCTGAAGCCGGTCAACGTGAGTCGGTCATCGTGAACCGAAGATGGTATTGATGTGTTATATATTAAGATTAATTTGAGAAATTTGGAGGGATTATTAATATTTCAGATTGATTGCGTTGAAAGTCCGACAATCATATCAGCATATAATTATCATTTCTGAAATTAATTCATTTATATGAATGTATTAGTTCAACATCTCAACACTCAGACCATAGTAGCGCTTCATATTTAAAGTAATGTTATTTAACATAAACGGTCTTGTTTCT